AATAAAACACTCAAAAATAGATGATTTTTTTTATTTTTTTTTTTTTTTTTTGCAATGGAAACAAATTCATTCCCAATACCAGTAAATTCTATCCTTTTAATTGATAATTTTCATGTAAAACAAAGCCAAACAGACACCAAAAACACTTTAATTTAAACATTTTCCACGTGAGAAATTATACCAATTAAACACAATAATTTACAATTCCAAAAAAAAAAAAAACAATTTCTCATCAATTCAATTCCCTGTAATTCGTTTTATTTCCACCCAAATTTCACATTTGCAATCAAACGGACCCTTAGTGAAATATGCAAACATGATAAATATATTAACAAGTGATAGAACACCAATTGAAACCATAGTATTTATCATCTATCATCTATTGGACCTTACAATATTTATTATATTGTGCTTAAACCTTAGTATCTCTCTTGATAACACTGAAATCCACTAATAATTTCAATTGGTGATCAAGCAATTGAAAAGAACAATAAAATGATAATAAACATCCACTTAATTAAATTCTGCAAGTCCATTTCAATTCTCTTACAAAATTATCATTTTTTCTCATTTGACGATAATAATTGATGAGTAATGGAGAATAACATGTATATGAGAGATGTAGGAGACGTCTTTCATATGTAATTTGCTGTTAGGAATTTGTAGAAATCGAAATTTGGTTGAAAATCACGTCCAAATTGGTTTCGAAAAGAGTTTCAAACAAATAAGGAAAGTTCTCTATGCGTGTAGATTTTTTTTTTTTTTTTTTTTTTTTGTCTCTACATAGCAGTCATATTTTGGTCATAATTTTCTCTTCTGATATCCGATTGAGGCAATTCAAAGTGCGTGAAAAGATAAGTCAAAAGACTACAGTTTTACTAAAAGTAGAATTTTTCCATTTCAGACGTTTACTATGCCAAAAATGGGTCTTAATTTTTGACTAATAATCTGTTAGATATCTTGTGTGATTGAAAATCGATATATGGTAATATTCTGATCATATTCCATTCCTTTCTAACTTTTAATTACATCCAATTGACTCCTAGAAAATTTTAAAGTATCGTCTTGTGATCTGAATCAACCATTGGATAATTGCAATTTGGTCATCAAACTTTGTATTTCAGTATTTTTTGCCCCTTTTTCGCTTCTTTCTTTCAATTTAACTTCCAACAATCGAATTTTATCTAATAAACAAAATATACAATAAATTAGACTATAATTGCTTTAAAAACTATTAAATGTCTATACTTTTATGTCCAAATAAATGTATAAAATACATTTATCACATACGTTAATGATCAATCTAGCGAGCACGTTGGACGATGAAAGGAGATATGTATTCTCAAGGTATAAGCAACATAGAATGTGATAGGATAAGTCTAGTGAGATCTTTTCATGGGATCATTTATGCATTTAATGCATGTGTTTGGCTATTTGATCGGTTAACTTGGTGTTAATAAGTTGTTGTGTGAACATATTTGAAAAGATCTATGTTATCAATACTATATTATATCTGCATCACATCTTTATTTGCTTTTGATTGATTACTATGATTATCTACTTTTACTTGGATGTTCTTGACCATAGCTATAATGAGTATATGAAGCATGTATGACATGTGTTTTGGCTCAAGACACGAGGTAAAGTTTGAGATTCAAATTTTATTTGTTACCTTGATTATACAAGCATAAACTTTGTATTTTAGTTGCTTGCAAGTTGATTGGATATCAAACTAGAGATTTGTTAACTTTTGATGTCCACTAAATTCGGGCGATGATGATAAAATAATGTAGGAAATTTTATCGATACCAAAAGCGATGACTCGATCCGAAAACAACTTTGAACACTTTAGGATGCCCCATGAGTTTAGCCCAAATAGTAGTTATTGAATTGGGTTATTGATTGGTAGCTTTAGATTATTGTTGGCCCATTTGCAGGCCCAATTACCTTACCTCTAGCCCATTGAAGTGACCTAATGTTGGGCCTTATATTTCCATTGCCTGCAGCGATTATCACTTGAGTTTGAATTTTGGTGTGTGCAAGATTGGAGAGAAAATGAGAAACAGCATGCAACCATTATTTGTGTTGATTTTTAGAAATTTCACCATTGTTTTCTTCTATTTTTTCTTCCACCATAGTGGCTGTATAATCACCATTTCATCTCCATACTTGAGTGGAACCATAGTGGCAACCAAAGTGTTGAATGTTGTAGGTTGAGCCTTGGTTCCTATGGTGTTCATTTGGTTGATTTTTGAGCCCAGATCGAAAATTTCTTGAGAAGTTCTCGCAACAACTAGAAAAGAAAAGAAATACATGTGGACGAAACGAGGCTCGATTTGCCCTCAAATCAAGGCTCTTGGGACCTTATAATTATATATTACACTAAATGCAAGGAACATAATGAAAAGGCAGAAAATATCTTCATTCATGAGGTTTGGTTAGAAGTCGAAGAGCCTTAAACATGCTGGCAAAATTTAAGTTTCTTTCGTTTTCTTGATATTGTTGAGCTTGACCATGTTTTAAGAATAGTCTATACATTCAAAATGGATTAATAAGAAGCAAAATTAAAGCATGGGATAGTAGAATTAGCTTAATTTAAGATACAAGTCACTTTCTTTTCATTTAAGCAATGTTGCTTAGTTATGATGGTTTAGCGTTGTGTATTGGTGAATGATTGTTGGATCTATTCTGTGTAGGGAGTTGGGCATTGCTCGTTACCCTATTTGTAGAGGCTAGGACATTTAATTGTAATGAATCTTTGTTTTTAATTTTTTTTTCTTTTTTTTTTTTCGTTTAATTTGTTGGGATTGAAATTTCATGTGTTGGGTGTTATTATATTTCCAAAAATCAGTGTGCTATTCGCGAATACGCCAAGATCAATAATGGTGGTTGGATACAGTAGTAGATAGAAAATTTGTACTTCAAATGTAGAAATTTGAAAAAGGCATATCCCAACTTAACTTGGCAAATATCGAGTCAGTTTGTTAAATCTCGAGCTTGTCTGGACAATCTTGAGTTTGCTATAAAAATGTCGAGTTTGACGTGTAAATTTCGTGTTTGTTGTGCAAATCTTGAGTTGATGAGTAAATCACGAGTTGCTTGTCAAATGTCTAGATCGATCGCCAAATCTCAAGTTTGCAGGTCAAGTTGTTTGGTATTCTAGGTAATAGACGAGTTGGGGTCCATGAATGTTATAATGGTACGATCTTTTGAAAGTAATTTGCATTATATTTGAATTGCATATCTTACATTCAGGGGCGGACCTGTGTAGGGACCAGCGGGGTCGGCCGCCCCCACTCGACTGTCGAATTTTCAGATTTTCTCCCACTTTCGCCCCCACTGAACTTTCGCCCTGGGTCCGCCATTGCTTACATTTTATATTTGTGAGAATGTTGTTTGTTTGTTGTGGAGCTGAATTATAGAATTACGCAATATGTATCCATTAATGTGGATTAGAACTACAGCCCCGCTAGTGAGCCAGGCTCAATAAACCTCAGTCCCCGATTTCACTTACTTTTTTTCTTTTTCAGATCTAAGGGCCGAGGTATTGCTACCTCGGCTTCCTGTTTTTGAGCCTGATTTTGCACTTGACTGAGTAGCATTTTTCTTAGAACTATTCTATTGTGAATCATTTCCCACTTTACGTGTTTGAGTCATTGGTAGGTTAATTGAACTATCACGTTCCATACGTTACAGATGGATTTTCCTTTTCTTGTATCAACGTTTTGGAGAAACAATTACTCAAATAAGTCCCCTCAACATTTTGGATCACGTTTTGGAGAATTTCGATGAACATTAGTGAAATTCGAAAGTAGATGCTCAGTCGCCTTGTCATACTGAAGGTAAGAAACCTACAGTTTTCAGGTGACATTGATCCATGTATTGAATTTGCGGAAAGTAGCTTGTAATAAGGATTTGTGATTTAACACTAACAATCTTGTTACATGTGCATCCTGACTTATTGAATATATACTTGGCATAATTTTACACCATCTTTCACATCTCACACATTTAATACAACCATCACAATCTCACCATATCATCCATCTATCAAAAAGAATGTCAAAGTACATATAAAAATAGCTTAATTGTAACACTAATGGTCACTTGATGCGAATTGGGATGCACGGATGAGATGATGACATGGTGGACAAAGCAGTAGTCATACGTTGACAAACGGATAGACAAGGCAACATCTTAAATTTACAATCGATTTTAAAATTGAGGGTTCATATTAAAAAGTCAATTCTATTAAGAGATGTAGTACAAACCCTTATATTGTTATTTATAATTTCATCTTTATTCGATATGAGATTTATATCTTAACACAATCTCATTGACTAAAATTGACATTTGTTAATAGTACAAGTTGACGAGAATCGTTAAGGTTTGATGGAGTGCTTCGACAGTTCGTATGAATGGCCAAAAGATTGTTTTCAAGCCCAGACGCCTATAACTTTTCTTTCCCATTTTTATAAACATGTCCAATGCCCAATTTTTTTTTAGGTGGTTTAAATAACTGTCTAGGTCAGCAAGACCAGACCTCCCAATCTAGGAATGATAAGATCTTACTAAAAGAAAATCTGCCAATTTACCCAAGTATCAACTTGGTTTCATTTTAAAAGTAACTTGAATTCAATTGTCTTCATGAAAGAATTCCCAAAGCTGAAACTCCAGATGGTAAAAATTAAAGTTTTAGGACCACCATCACCACAAACTTAAAAGATTCGGGACTCAGGTGTAATTTACCCATAGTTATATACCCTTCAAGTCTCATTGTCACATGACTTTTAATCGGTTAATAAAAAACTGTACTTCTCCTGGCCGGCCACCGATCTATTATTTTTCTCTCCACTGAAAAACCATGGGTGCGGGTTTCGCCGTCGGTGTTCTCGGAGTTCTGATTCTCTCCCACGCAGCCTACTCCACTATCCAATGTACCCTCATCTAATCGATTCCTCATAGTTTTGGGGATTAATCTAATAAGTTACATATTTGATTCGTTTTTTCAATTTTCGATTTTGCAGACAGGTCCTTTCTCAAAATAACTGATGAGCAGTTTTCTGGTCCACCCATCAATGTAATTCTCAAATCCTGTCCTCATTGTTATGAATAATTATATATGTATTTGGTTTTGGTGTTTATTTGTGTGTGTTTTTAGATATGTTTGTTTATGGGTCTAGGGTTATGTGTGGATTGCAGGTGGTGATGGAATTGATTGTAGGGTTAGTGTTATGCATGTGGGCTGCTTTAACTGTGCCTGGAAAGTTCCTTTCCATACTTCCCCAATCAGATGAGAACCGGTATACAATTTTTTCTCAATTTTTGCTGTCTTCATTTTAATATCTTTTATTTTTCCAAGCGAAATGGACATGTAAAGTGTGATAATTATTTTGAGAATATTCAAATTCCAGTTCAGTATGGGATGTTTTGATTTAATGTGCTTATAGTGAATGCTTGAAGAAACTGAATTGGATAAATAGAGGGAGGGTGTTTTCTTGTCAATTTGTGTAGCATGCATTTTGTTTAATGGTTCAATCCACTCTATTAAATTATATTGGCTTTTGTTGAGTCTTCATCCGTTTTAATAATCCTATACAGGTATGCTATGTGACGTAGTAGGGAATATAATGACTTAACAAATTTGCAATGAAGATTGCTGTGTAAATCACATGAGTTGCTTTTTGAATTGTGTACGAATTTTCATCGTATCTGCTCCCAGTAAAAATGAAAATTTACACAATATTTATTGATGAGATGTGGTCTGAATTCGAATCTTTTGCTGCTATGAAGTGGTTATTGTTGCTAATGTTGCTCAATATTAAGAGAATTTTGTAGTTGAATGGAACTTTCGCTTATTTAATACTACTTAGATATATCTCAACTTGATCATTTTCGGAAGTTATATGTCTAAATTTTCGTTATTCAAAGCTTAAACTTTATCTTGTTCTCATACAAGACACACATTGCAATCATTTCCAATAGCTTGGTCAAACTGCAGGATTAGTTAACGACTGAGAAGGAAAAAGTTAAATTGATAATCAATCACCAGTGGATCATTTAGAGGGGATTAGATCAAACATTTGGTGCATTCTCCTTTCTTTTACTGCATCTTGTTTGCCCTCTGTTGGTTTTCTTCATCTAGTTTTATCTTTGTTCTTGTCTTTCAAACTAGCTTTGAAAACAGATATGGTGTTCATTGTGTTCCAAACAGAGGGTTTCGTGAAATATTAGAAAGAAAATAACAATTATTCTTCATATTTGAAGTTTTTGGTGGTCTCTATATAGGGAACTGGTCAATAAGCAGTGAAACCGTGAAGATGCTTCAATAAAATTGCTATGAATCCTTTAAAAATATTTCCATTCCTAGATTCAAAGATGGTTTGCATCTAATGTTATTTTGTTTTGTACAACGTAAAACTATTGCACCTTGATCAGACTGTTTTGAATTCAATAAAATGTTACTTTACAATAAATTTCAGCTATTTCTCCTAAAGAATTGGAAAAATAGATCATGTGCTTCATTTATAATTTCCAATTCTTTCCCATTTTGCAATTGAATGGGTAAAATTAGAATTTGAGAAAACATGGCATTCCCCAATGGAAATAACTTTTCTGATTTTTGACACACATTCATGCATTCTCCTGATATCTTTTTCTCATTTGCATCATTACCTTACCAAGCATCTGAAGTATAAATCCTCCATTTCTGGGGCTTCTCCAATTTGTTGCGATACACTATTAATGTGAAATTGAAAATTGAAGTCCGATTCACTACTTTGTGAAGAAAATGCTTCAAAATGTTATTTACATAAATGATTGAAATTTGAGTCAACAAACATTTTTTGTGGAGAATTTTGGCCTTTTGTGACCTGATCCTTGGATATAAAAATGAGATTGAAGTGAAGAGAAAATAGCTAAATTAAACTTAGATTACTTCTTTCAGAAAGTTTACTGTGCAATTGTGCTTCCCATGTTCCTTTTTATCATGCAAGCCCTGCTATTCTAACGGCCCATAGTTGTTTCAGAAGGAAACAAGTAGTGAATGGGATGTCTAAGGAACTTTTCCATTTCTATCCATGTGTTTTATTTATCGCAATAAAATCAAAGATGTATCACCAAGTTTGTCTTCTTTTCCAAATTTGATTATCTGTGTTAAAGGTGAAATATAGATTCATTTTCTGAAAGACTTTATGAAGCATAAAACCATATGGTGAAACAAATAGAGCTATTTGTGTTATTTCTTAGAATCAGTCATATGATCTTTTGCCCTCAATGGGTAAGGTAAAAATTTTTCATTATTGACGTGACAAGATAGTCTTAATTATGATTCTCTGAAATGATCATAAATTTAAAGAACTATAACTAAAGTTTTCTTGCCACGTTAACAGTAGAAAATTTTTATGTTACCTAGGGCAAGAGGTCAATTCTATTCTTAGAATATAAGTCTCAATTACTAATTTTGTCAAGGTTTCCTTTCTTTTGGAATGTAGGGTTGTTGCCTTGTCCGACAATCTAGATTTTGTGATTTTCAATCATCGTGGAAAAGCATTTCCTTTGTCCGTTGATGCCAAGTTGAAGTAACATAGAGGTGCTCCCGTACTGTTATTGAACCTAAGAGATGAAGTCGTGGAAAAATGTTGGAGGAGATTTTACCAACAGATTACAAGATTGGAGTTTTTGATATTGTAATTGTCGAATTACCTACATGGCATGCTCGTGGTATATGGGAATTTAGTGGACTGCAGAAACAAGCCTTCCCTTTTTAGCATGTTTTAAGCACACTATGATTTGATGATTTTATAGTAATGTTATTTTGGTTGTACTTGTGCCTACTCTTTGTGAAGTAGATTTTGTAAAAAATGATGAAATTTAAGTTTGAAATTTGATAAAAGTTTTGGGTTCCATCGAGTGTATGATTGAAAATAAATTTGAAAAAAAATGAGTTTTAAAAAATATGATCAAAACAAGGATTTTATATCACGGATAATTGGCACAAAATTTCCCTGTTGTCTGTATGTTTTGCGCAAATCGTTCTTATCATTTTATTTAACATTTTTATTTTTGGAGCAATCAAACTTTGCGCAAATTGTCCACATTGTTCATTTCATGGTAAAATCTTGTAAAATGACGAATAAGAAAAATATGCTTTCTTACTCCTCTCAACTCTCTCTACAAATCAGCCAAGTGTTCACCTCATTGTAGCACCAATTTTCTGGTATATTTTTCATGAGAATTTCATTTTCTCATAATAACCATGTATTTATTGCCTTGAATCTTGTATATGCAAATTTGTTTTCAATTATTGTTGAGAGTTGATAATTTTGCTCTGTGAATCCAAAAAATTGTGGATATTTTGATCGTCTCTTCTAAGGAGAGAGGCCCTTTTGACTCATAATAAGCTTGAATTTTTGCACCCACTTCATCAGTTCAAAAATGTTATTTTTTACAGCAATTTTCATACCTCCTCACAATAATTATGGACCCCACCCATTTGCATGTGCGTGCACTGTGAAAAAAGGTGTCAAAAAAGGCGTACTTGTAGAATGGTTCTCATAAGTTTGCAAAGAACGTTAGTTCATTTGGTCCTTTGAAGCCTCAAGAATCGAGATATTAGGTTCAAAAGAACAACATACTCCCTATCTAAATTGGACACCTCTTTGGAGCCTAAATTCACCACATATAAATACATAACAAGGGCGTAACATAAGAGGATCTCTCTCTCACCTCTCATGGTACACCATATCATAAAATCTTTCAAGAAACGAGTGACAAATTCATTACTTTATCAACCAATAGAAATTCTTATCAACTCTAGCAAAATGGGTAAATCATTGCAATGGGCCTATGACACTGGTCCAACACAATTGCATGAGGTTCCACGATCTAACTCATCTCATGCCACGACGCAAAAGAAGTGCTAACATTAGAGATTAAATGAAACAATTCTATACGGCTTAAGCCATTTGTACACCGAGCTCACCTCACATTACGGAGTGGGCACCGGAGCATTTAATAAGCGGGCCCGTCCCTTGTGTGAAAGGCATGTACACCGAGCTGTCAAGCTCAGTGTACATGTAACTTGATTCATTCTATATTCACACATGATAGGACAACTCATTTACACACCACATCAAACCTCCAACAAATCGAATCACGAAACCTGGACATCTGAAGTTATAAGAGAGAAATGAAGTAAGGATTCGTTTGATTGTAAAGGTGAAATTTGGGTGGAAAGAAAATAAACTCCAAAAAATTGAATTGCCTAAAATTGTTTTCCTTGACATTGTCAATTGATAGTGTTTGATTGGTATAATTTTCCACGTGGAAAATATTGAAATAAAAAGTGTTTTTTAGTATTCGTTTGACTTTGTTTTACTTGAAAATTGTCAATTTAAAGAATATCAACTTCTACCATTGTTCCTAGAATTTGTTTTCATTGCCAACTAATAAAAAAAAAAGACAAAAAAAGATTTAAAAAAATCATCTATATTTAAGTGTTCATTTGACTTTGTTTTACATGAAAATTGTCAATTAAATGAAAATATTTTTTAAAAATTAGGGACAAAATTTGTTTCTATGGCAAATAATAAAATAAAAAAATGAAAAAAAATTTAAAAACTCGCTACATTAACATGGAATTTGAATTCTCACCAGTACCATGAAATGGTGGAAAAAGTGACCAAGGTTCATGGAAATAGTTTTCCTTGAAAAATTTATCTTGTCAAACACCACAAATATTGAAAAATGGAAAAGATCCTTGACAATCAAACAGGCCCTATACGTTAACTCCCAAATGTCCAATTTTTAGTGGCTCAAGATTGAAGATAAAGTGAAGGACCATCCTTCCAAAGCTTCGAACTGCGTGAACTAACTCACTAGCGCCTGGTTTAATCTATTTTTAAAACCATTTCTGTAGTGTAAAATAATTCAAATAATCATAGATTCTTTCCATACAACATTGACAATCCATTAAAGTTACAAGTCTCTATCCAAGAATACTATATAGCAAACAGATGCAACCAACTGCACGACAGTAAGACAACAGACAATTGATCACCATCCAAAATTTTCCTTCTTGCTTTCAAGAAGTCTTTGAAGGTCACCATAACCACAAGGGACAGCAAGAATACCCTTTTGTCTGAACCCGAATTCTTCCTCTGCTTGCTGTAACAGTTTCAGAAAACCCATATGGGCTAAGCAACTTAACTCTATTACAGACCTCCTCGATTGACGATCATCGAATGTATGTACCGCAAAGTGTCCCTCCCTCACAACGTCTGGTAGATTTTATGGCAATGAAAACCCATCTTCATCAAAAATATCATCAATGCATGTGAGGATTTTTCTCAGTTTTCTCTTCACAGGATTATGGATTAGTAGACATCTTTTCATCATCAATGTTTGATTGCACATATACGAAGCTGACAAGATATAAAATCTAGTACAAAAGAAACTGACTGCATCGAAATTTATACTCGCTTTTGCAGGAAACAAAACATCAGATACCAAAAAGTATATACAATCTAAATGCATGTGCCTTGGAATTAAAAATTTCTGATTTGTAACTTCCAGCTTTTATTCAATTGTCAAGTAAATTGGATGGTGGCAAACCATAAAAGACCATTTCATAACTAAAAAACCGAATTCAAAAGGAAAATATTATAGGTTAACTATGTCGAAATGTCTTCAATTACAAATGTTCACATTATGGGATACTATTTAAGCAAATTGAAAAGCACAAAAACATGGACACTACAACTAGCACATGTTATGCAGGGAAGGAGCCATTGACAAGACATGAATTACCGGAAAATACACATTTGTGATTCAGGAATATTAAGAAATATAAATATCACAAGCATATAAACTTCTAGGATATCAATTACAGAGAAAATAGGAATCAAATACATACACCACCATCCTAAAGATGCAGAAAATCAAGACATGATAGACAAGCATGTAAACTTCTAGGATATCAATTACAGAGAAAATAGGAATCAAATACATACACCACCATCCTAAAGATGCAGAAAATCAAGACATGATAGACAAGCATGTAAACTTCTAGGATATCAATTACAGAGAAAATAGGAATCAAATACATACACCACCATCCTAAAGATGCAGAAAATCAAGACATGATAGACAAGCATGTAAACTTCTAGGATATCAATTACAGAGAAAATAGGAATCAAATACATACACCACCATCCTAAAGATGCAGAAAATCAAGACATGACAGAAGAATGCTTTAAGAAAGAACAAAGAAACAATAAATCAATACGAGAGCCGGAAACTATGTATTCACATCCTCTGTCATATAGTATTTTCGGCAAGTAATCTTGAAAGTGCGAAAGTAAGCAAAATTTATACAAGATAAAAACACTTTAATCAATTAAATGCTAGATTCATTATTGGCAGTTTGCATACATTTTAGGCATTAACAAGGTGATGGTGAATCTCAAACAGAAGAATATCAGACACCGTGGCACCACCACACCATAATTTAGAAATCCAATTGTCCCCTGATTTCGAACAATTGTTTTACCACCGAAACTGAAGGAATACTTGTAGAATTCTCAACATATTGAGGGAGTTTGAAATATTACCACGATCATTTATTACCATATTACTCTCTATCTCATTCTCAAAAGTCAACGAACAGGGGACTCAAAATAGCTAATTCCAATCATATAAACAAAAGATCATGAGATCTACTATTAATTTAGACAGAACCTGCTTATATATAATGAAACCATTTGGGAACATAAGCAATATTTTCAACACATAGGTAACATTTATAGAAAAATTATTAATCGAATACATATAGAATTCAGAAAGTAATAATATACAAGAATTTATTCATAACGTGCAAAAAATAAAAAAGAAGATCACATGATACTGATAATAGCAACTCTATTATTACTAATCCAGCTCTTCCCTTAAGCTTTCCTAATGAGACTTTTCATCAAACAGTTGGTATAAGTTCAACGACGTCGTTAACAGAACCAAAACCGAGTCCGTGGCATCTGGCATGGTCCACTCTCCCAGTTTCTGTTCAAACACCCCCTGCACCTTTATCAGACAAATTAACACACCCATAAACTATACATGCAAAATAAGACATATAACGCGAAAGAACACGATTAGGGGGGGCATACGAGAGAAGTTAAGAGGTAAACGAGGTCGGAGCACAGGGCAAAAAGTAGTAAAAGGAACAAAAAGACGATGGCGAAACGGAAGAGAATGAGAACGAAAACGAAGATTATGAGGTAGTAGAAGAAGAGGAAGGGGGAATCATCTACTACATAGACTAGCATTTTTTCTGGTTCCGTTCCGGAAATAGGAATTTTGGTATGTGATCGTCCCCAGGAATGGATTTTCTTGCTGAAAATATTGGGTTTGAAACACTATTAATGTCGTTTTCACCTTTTCTTAAGGTACTGGTATGGAAGAATCTGGAAACGGTCTCTAATGTCACATTTCCATTGGCCCGACAATTGAATAATAATTGTTAGAAGATTTTGTGATTAAAAAATCAGAAAAATTTTATATTTATTTATAGAATATTTTTGTATATGAATATTTGGTTGAAAATAAATATATAGAAACGAATTTTCAAATAATGATTTAATTGATCGATCGAGTGTTAACTGAGTCCTAGTTTGAGCTCCATTTTTTTGAAAAAAATACATTTTTTAACAGTATTTTGACATCATTTCAAACTCATATTTTTCAATAAAATAATATTATATGCAAATCTCAAACTTTTATTTTTTATTTTTTACGCACACATTTTTCATCAATACACTATTCAAAAATTTATTCTTCCAAAAAAAAAAAAAGGGACTCAAACCAGGGCTTAATCTTTGACGCATATTTTGGCTAAGATTCAAAACTTA